ATGAATTCTATAAGGCCCTCTCTCAACTGCTCCCAATTGCTCGGTCAACGGAAATCGTGATAGTCACTGGAGACTTCAGTGCTAAAGTGGGGTCCTTGGGCGAATCGGAAAGATTTATTGGTGGTACACATGCAATCCCAGCCAACCGATCAGAGAACGCCTACTCCAACTCTGTGCCATCCACAGACAGTTTTAGTTTTAGTTTGTACAACCATTAACCATGAACTTTCGTGCACCGGTTGTGATTGCTGTCTTTGGCTTCCCATTTGGATGAGCAGTAGGATAAAGACAGGAGGGTTGAAAATAGAGTCGAAGAGAAGACGTCACAAAAATTCGCACAAGAAACGACACCGCCTTACATGGAAAACGCCAGCCTTTTCACAGCGCTCGACTCAAATCAGCCATCGCTGGCGAGGATCCATTCAAGACTTACTGGTTAACACCAATGGACGTGGACCATGCTCTTCTCTCCCCGTGTCTGGTAACCAACAACAGAAAAGCCATCGGAAACGGGTGACCACAATATTGTCAGCGATAATTGCAAATCGGCTTTCAAAGCGGAGCTCTCTGATTGCCTTTCATCTCAACCATCAGCCGAAGGACTCAGCTTTAATCAAGGAAGCCATCGAAATGTTAATCAGAACGGATTCGGGCGCACAGTCATTGCACGAATAATGAATCTCCCTACCTCAGTTTGTATGCTGAATGCTCGTGGAGCCGTGCTTCGCGGTCAAATGAGTCGAGGGCTCCTTTCAGGTCAACGAACACTGCGATCGTTGGTCGGCGGTAGGTGTGACGCAGCTCAAGGGCCTGACGCAACGGAAAAATTTGATCAATACATCCATGGCCAGACCAGAATCCAGCTTGCTGTTCACGGATGTTGGTCTCTTAAAGGCATCAGATTTCGAAGTATAACCGAAGCTAGCTCCTTGGTGACGATCGGGATCAAACTTATCCCGCAGTGGTTTTCGCAATCGTTGCGGGATCCTTTCTTGAAAATGGGAACGGTCAGTGATTCGCTCCAAGATGAAGGAATATGCTCTTGCATCCAAATGTTGCGCAGTAGGGTAGTGATAGAGGTTACCAGGTTATCACCTCCCATCATAAAAAAGTGGAAGGGAGCTCATCAGATCCTGCTACCTTTCCTCGCTTCAGAGATTGAATGCAAGACTGAATTTCTGTTTCCGTTGGAGGATCGCATGACACTGCCCACGGATCTCTAGTCGGAGATGAAGCAGTCTGGTTAACACTAGGCCTGCTGAACTGTTCGTTGAAATATTCTGCCCAGCGATCGAGTCGTTGATCCCTATTGTGAATAGCTCGTCCCCTCTGATCACAGACTGTTTCACTAATTGGAGTTCGCCGACCTCCCATATTGCGCATCAGTCAGAACAGTCTTTGACTATTCCCTGACTCAGCTGCTACTTCCATTTCACTAGCTATTGTTGCTCACCAGTTCTCACGGTCCTTCCTGAGGCTCTTCATGAGCTGACATTGTAAACGCCATCTAACTCTATTTCGATCCTGGCAGGTCGGGATTTGTCGTTTTTTCTCTCCGTCAAAACTACTGACTCCTAAGATATCCGATGCCTGTGACGGGCTTGAGGCTCAGACCCACTAGCAACATTCGCTGCGGAATCCATTGCTCGGCTAACCTGATCCCACTGCTCATCTACATCTTCAGGTTGAGGCGCTTAGCTCACACACTAGCTATGACTCAGAGTGCACGAGCTGCTGGAACGGATAGTCAATGATGAGTTTGCTGGTTCTGTCACCGACCAGTCAGTTGGAGAGTGAACTGCAGCAAAACTAATGCGTGGTCAAACTCAACGCAGGTGGTCCAATAGGACCTGCAATTTTGCACTGAGCCACGCCAACGGTAACTATGTGCTCGATTTGAGTCACCGTACCAGTTGAACTGGAGCACCACGTTGCCTTCCACCGAGAGCTATGTCGGGAGTTGGTGCTTGATAGGAACAGATGATGGTCTGCGCAGAACTGAAGAAGTCGATCGCCGTTATCTGTTCGATGGCAGGGCAGAGCACAACTTCTGCCTAAGCAAGCTTCTGATGCGCTCAGTTTTCCAACTTGCGCGTTGAAGTCACCTGCAAGGACAACTATGTCGGAGCTTCGACTCATCCGAATGAGATCGGTGAGTTCATCGTAGAAAGAGAACATTTGGGTAGTAGAACTGCAATTGGTAGGTGCACATGCTGATACGATGAACAAACACCTGTTGGTGTCGTTTCCCTTTAGGACGCTGACTGAACCCTGAAGACACACTGCACATAAACGACTGTTGACGGGGATCCAATCAATAAGAGAGGACTGCGCCCTGTTGCTGAGTACAATACCTACCACGCGCTGGCCTACTGAACGAGCTTCATTGTCGCCTGATGTGCGAAAAACGTATTTCAGGGACAAATCTGGCCATTTGTAGTAATGGGACAAAAATAGATTCCCGGTGTTTGAACACCGCGGTCTACGCCGCATCGGACGAGTCTGGTGAGGAAACCGGACAAACAATGCTGAAATTAAGCGTAGTGTTTTAGGCGATCGCAGTGACCACCGAGGCAAGTGGTCCATCTTCATAGATTGCGCTGATTGGGGCATATCACTAAATAGGCGGCCACGGCACGCGATTCTTGACGAGGCAGGCAGCGGATGGACAAAAGTAAAGGGTGGTCAAACTATAACCTGACATGAGGGTACAAAAGCTCTAACCATTAGCCTGGGTCACAAAGGTTCTGTTAGTCTCTCTGAATGGAGTCCCCGAGATCGTGGTAACCGGTAGTTAGAGACGCTGAGTGATATGGCTGAGTGTCGCAAACAGTGGCACTCGTGTATCGTCTGAATCTATTGGCAACCTTAGCCTACTGAAATTCTATATTTTCTTTTCGATTCTGCTTTCAGCTTTTCTATCCCTCTCCTACTACTTCATCCAAATGGGCAGCCAAAAGATGGCAACCACAATCGGCGCAGGAAAATGCATGGTTGATGGTTTTAAAAACTGAAACCGATCTGCTATTGTTCTCATTATAGTAGTGACTCGGCATACGTACCACATACCGGTAATCAGGTGATTTAAATTGCTATCGCTAGTGTGTATCGATCTCTCGGGTGTGGGATTCAATTTACATTATCGCCACAGTTCATTGTTGCACAGTCTTATAACTCACCAACCTCATTGGGTTCTTCTTAATTCACCTCGCATTCCGAGGACGGGAGCCACTTCTCTCCAAAGTATAGAGTTAACTCTGAATCATTCTGCACTCTAAGGTATATTTCAAGTGTACAAGATTGGTTATTCGAACCGTGCAGTTCTTTTTTATTTATCCACAACAGGATTTTAACTGACGGTGCCCTTTATGATGTCGGTGTATAGCTGCTCTTAAATTTGTCAGTTAGCTTCCTTCCCATCCTCATGGATTTCCACCATAGCATTTGCAAGGTTTTGGACTGGTTCGATCGAATTTGTGCACTTCCAGCTTAAATTTAAATTTTAAAATCACTTTTTTTACACATATACAAGATATTTGCTCACCATTCTTTCATTTAACTGTAACCCTTCTTTGTTTATCTCTTTTCAGGACACAGCTGCGAAGGTAAAAGTGAACAAAGATACCATTCCAAACACGAAGTGGATACTGAAACGACGCACTATCACGTATGTCTTCATCTATCAGTTTGTTTCTATACAGGTGGTTCTCATATAAGCGGAGACCTCTGTGCCGGAACTAAACACTCAACAAAATATCTTATTCGCTTACTACCTCCAAAAGAAGAGGGACCCCTTAGTTAACAAATCTTCTTTAGGAAAATGTCAATGGTTAGCACATTCAAAGGTTTGGTAAGAGCGTTTTCATTACTTTGACCCTGTAAATGAGAATGGTTCCAGTTGTCCATCTGCTGATGCAAAAGGGTCATCGATGCATGCGGTACATGTAAATGTTAATCCGTCTTGTGCGAGATGCATACGCAAAGCACGCCATAGCGGATTTGCCTAAACACTTTCGAATAGATAAAATGTGTTCCGGCGCACTGGTTTTGTGCAAGTGTGATCAAAGGACTCATTGATCCAATTTTCAGCTAATAATGTGTCTTGAACTAAGTACACACACACAATTTCTATAAAATGGCGCGAAACTCCTGGATGTGGATGTTTTCCGGAGGTTTCTGCTGTACAGTTTCCATTTTTATCCATCCTCTTACTAGCATTAGTCAACCGAATAAGACACGAATAGTGACATCCCTTATGTAGACTTGTACAGTGGTTATGGGAGAACGGCAATCGGAACTCGTTATTTCAGCGCCGATATTGATAGGCAAAATGCATACATATTTCTTCCGGAAGACAAGGGTAAACGAATATGCGAAATTTCCACGAAAACGAATAATAGAAGTCTGTGCAGCAACAGCTGTAGCAGCACGTAGGTGGTTCTAGGTTGTTTATTGTCATTGCGATAAATTCGCTAACCCCAAACTACCCTGGTTATCGACAGATGTTTCCTAAAAGCTAGTTTTACTCCTCCCATGAATGCGAATCTCTTCGGATGGGAACTTCTTGTATTTTCGCTTAGATTCATTTGTTTATTATCCATATTTTGATGACAATCCATGTTGCATTTTTGCCCAGGCTCATATAATGAATAGTATAAGGGATAAACGCCCTGGTTCCTAGAACCACCTATGAGAACCGGCGACCTCAACCTTATGTGATTCAACATCTCAAGTTCCGGAGCTTACATTACCGGGTGCCATCTATATGAGGTTCATTCAGTCCGTTGTTCATCGCACTCAAAAGTGTTTATAATAAAAATGAAATAATATAACACAATTTTGCGAACATGCATGGTACCAACGCAACAACAATATTACTACACCAACCATCCAGGAAACTTGCAGCTTATCAGGATCTTCTTTTAGCAGTGGAATATCGTCAACAAACCCAAGGCAATATGGTGTATTAGTATGAGGAGATCGTAATATTGAGGTAAACTTCTCAGGCACACCCTTTAAGTAGAATCAGCCCCTCGGTATAGAACGTTCGAATGAGTCGAAATCTGTTTTCAGTTCGATGAAGATAGAAATGGTCAGTCTGCGAAGGGATTGCCTGTGATCCGGGATTTGGTGAAGTGTGAAACTGTGGTCGACACAACCCCCCCCCATCAGGTCTGAAACTAACCACTTCTTCACGCATGCACGGCTCACGGGTATCAGACGATTGACAAAGTATAAGTTTCTTGTGAGAGATGTTAAAGTTTGATAGGAACCATCCGTGGTCTGTGCAAGGTTGAAGTAAGCGATCTTCGTTGTCGTCCATTTGTCTGGGATTGCATGTAGAACAGCCTAGGCACTTGTGATTCGTTCATGTATTCTATTGAAGCGTTGAAGTCACGGGTACAGAATGTCGCTAACTGAAGATTCTGGATGAGATGGCCTGGAATCTGTGCACCAACTTGCTGTACTCAACCATTCAGGTCTATGTAACAAAAAAACCTGTGAGTAAGCGCCGGACAAACACCCGTTAATATTTTCTCTTTTTTGGTGGGAGGCGTGTATTTGTTTTCCTATTTCACCATGATACTGTTGACTCCATATCTTTGATCAGATGATGTGAGGTATAATATATCATATACACTTGTCGCAGCGACCACCATTTTGTCTCACCAAACGGGGTTTCGGTGGCAGTACATACGAGGCACTTTGTGTGTACAACATTCTGGTAAACTTCTCAAATAGCTTTTCATGTAAGTTTGATACGAGCAACATAGTATATCGATATAAAAGCTATAGATCAATGTGAATATGTGGGTTTTAACTGGCTATCAATTTGATTTCACCATAATCGGGAATGCGGATTAACCTAAATAACACCTAAGTATGCTCGAGAAAGTATTTATCTTCGATGTGAAATAAACCTTTATAATATCGGGTTGAAATTCAGGTGCTTTAAACGATCGAGCGCTATATTTTTATTTGTATTCAAGCGTGTGTACGAGTGAATCACTTTAAGACTATACCGTTACCGTTTCTAATTTATTTTTTAGTCTTAAACAGAAAAAAATGCCTGAGGAGGATGCACGTGATGTCACGTACGAGATCATATATGGCCTAATAATGCTCTCTGACGAAGATACCTCAGATGAAGATGCGGAATCGTTTTCTGTTCCTCGTCATTCCTCCCACATAGTTGCTCAAGTCTTGGCGTTCGTACTGTTCGAACCAGCATTTCCGGATAACCTTTATGTGGATGCTGGAAAGTGAGTTTATTATTATTACTATTTTTTGGGAGGGGGGAGAAGTTAGAAAGAGACATTTCACTTTTTCTCATCATTGACTAGTTTTTGCGTCCTCATTTAAGTTAGAAGTTGCAATCAATATCCTAAAATGACTTTCCATTGTGGAACATTTTCTTCGAAACCTAGGAGTTAACTGCTGATCGTCGAGTGTTTGATAGTTCAAGGCATCTCTTAAATCAAACTCCTTATTGTTCTTACAATTATTGATTCATGATCTCATAGCGTGAGACGGTCCAGATTTTCACACTCGTACTTCCTCAATTTTTCTACTTGCAAACTAATTGAATTTGTGCGACTGGCGAAAATAATTCTTGCTCCTAAATTCTTAGAACTCAAATCACTCGTTTGAAACGCATTGGCACGTTAAAATGATTCATTGTGTTCCATATGTTTTGTCCTGCTATCCGTCCTCGTAAAACCTTCTAGAAGCCTAACTGTATCAGCTTTATTGGGCAGCATTGACGTGTTCTTAGGTGTTGCACGCAGAATGTTCTCTGTCGTTGTCCCCTGATCACTGGCATACCACAGGTGCCATCAACTTGTGAACTACACTGATGCAGCTAGTCTGTTTTCGTTTTTCTGTGAAATCGGTTGTCAGTACACATACTCACTTGGTTTGTTGATTCTGAGAACAGTCAGGCGAGACAATGTTTTTACGAAATAGCAAATCATCTAGCGAAGCAAATGGAGCCTGAGGGACCAACTAAGTAGACAAATCACCCTCCATTTTTTCCACTGGAAGTGAAAAGTTTGTTGTCAAAACTGACAACTCGTCATGCTACCAAAATAGACTATAGCCTGTTATGAGGCTCCGTCATCGGTCATTGATCTCCCAATACGGTTGCATTTTATGGTGCACCGCAAATTTTTATTTTTACCGTCATCTGACTTCTTTTTATGCTTCGTTTTTACTCGTATTACGATTGTGCCTACTTACAAGTAACACAACTGGTATCGAAAAAGCTCCAAATGAGCCCTGTTTTTTTCATTTGGTCTTGTTCGCGCTTACACGAAGGGCGTGATTGTTCAGTCAACAGTGTGAGTTCATTAGAGGTGCAGGTATAAGCGTAAACGTCGCATTCTGCTGATCACCGTCCATTTTGCCTTTCAGTTGACAGCAATGAATCAAATGAGCGCCGAATGAACTGAGTGCTACATACACTTCCGTGTAATTCTAAAATC